GTGCGTGTGTGTGTGTGTGTGGAGTGCACTGCGTGGACGTGGAGAACACGGTCACCGTCGGTGTTTCTGTGTTCGTTCTGACTGATGAAGGAGATGAAATAACGTCTCTATGAGTGCGTGTTATTGAACATGCATTATAATGAGTTTGCAGAGCTGTTGTTGTGTTTGCCCTCTCAGTCTCTTCTAAACTGATTTTTAATGTCGCTGTTTTCACCCGGGTCAATAAACATCAAAGTTACGGGAAAGTCGTCTGTTGCTGAAAATGACCTGATATCACTGAGACGTGTTTGACGTGTGTGACGCTCAGGCTGCAAAGTTGTTTGCATCGGGTTAAATTCCTGCGTCAGTGTGTGTGGAGCTGCACGTCGCTCTTGCAGGAACGTGGACGCCATCCTTACTTTGGTGCTTTTAAAGTCCCGAGTCTCTGTTGTTATCCCGGGACTCCTGCTCTGCAGACGGTGCGTCTGTACACACAATGGACAGCCCTCAGCCCAGGCTGTGGTCACCGAGGTAACCATGTAATGGATTTACTGTCAGGTCACATGTGAGTCATTGGTGTCCTGCGCTCTTCTTGGCTTGAGGGCTCTGATGCTGATTTCATTGTGACGCCTCAGGCTCATGGCACCTCTGTGACTCCCAGATATCAGCTTTTCTTGTAGTCACACGATCACTCGTCTTCATGGTTAGCTAGACACAGGCTCACGTTACCTGCCCGTCCTCCCCTCAGTAAGGCAGGAAAAAGAGGAGGCGGCGATGAGGCTGAGAGGACCTGCGGGTGTAATAAACATTTAAATATTTCCATCATGTGAGCAGCAGCTGAGAGCTCAGGAAGTGTGTGTGGTAGCGAACAGGAAATAACAAAGTGAGAAACATAATAACAGCTCAGGCGTGACCCGATCACGTGATGCTGACTGAGCCAATCTGAAGCTGAGGACAGGGCTGGACTGCATCTCTGGAAGCATCCCCTGCATGATGATGCTAGCTCACCAACAACCCAGAGTCCAGGATCCAGGACAGGGAGTAAACTGAAAGGACTTCCTCTGACTCTCTGTTTTCTGCTCCTCTGCACAGGTTCATCATGAGTCTCCCAACTCACCGTCAGTGCAGCATCGAGCTCCAGAACAAGACCACAACGTTCACCCTGTGCAACCCACGGTGAGTCCTGCAACTCCACGTCCACAGAGAGCTGTCCCCGCGTCAGCTGCATGACAGTTATTGAAAAATCACTTGATGTTTCTGTGAGGTTAAATCCAGATATATGTAATTATTGTTGTTTTCATTCATGAACGTTCAAAAAAGCAGAAAAAGTAAAAGCACAGTTGTTGATTGATTAAATTACAGTTAATCAATCA